TCCCCCCCCCCCACCCCCCGACGTGTTGGGACTTTAAGCCCACTTTATGGAAATGGGAGGCTCCTCCCTAGCTTGCTCCTGTAGTCATAGGGCTGAGGGCAGGCAAAACTTGGGGGCATCCAAACCCCAAGCCTCTGGGCTTGGGTCTGCATGTAGGGTGCCTGCCAAAAGACATTGAAAATATCTGAAGCCCCTATGGGGTGGTGTTTGCCAGTTTGTAGGGCTACTTATGGTTCTGCATTGACTCACAGATTCGGACTTGATTTGCCTGATTTGGCTTGGAACATGACAAATTAAAAAAAAAGAGAGAGTTTTTCCCAATACAGGTTTCCCTCACTTTATGCGGGTTCTGTATATGTGAATTATACCAAAAATTCATTATATACAAGGTAAATTCTTATGCAATCAGGGTGATGGAAGCCCGCAGTCAGCTGCTTTGTGCCGTGTGCTGTGGGAGCGACACACACCAAAATATAGTCTCCTGTGTGGATCTGTGCTCCATGCTCATTGTTGGTGACGTGTTTCTGTAATTGCCATCCCCCATTATGATAGTACCCTGTGCTTGTGCGTACTGTCTGCTGTAGGTGACTACCAACATTGTCTTGTAAAAGTGGTAGAAATGGGTCTAGGGGTAAGTACAGTTGAGGTCTTGGAACATATCCCTATTTGTTAGTTGTAAAGTAGGTTCTTCTGTTTATGCAAATTTGAGTTAAGCATCATTTTACAGGAACGCATGTACAGCATAAAGCAAGGGAAACCTGTATCCAGCCTAAACTTCCCTTGCTGCAACTTAGAACAGTTCATCCATTGCCACCACTGAGGTCAAGAAGTGATGTGCTTGAAGGCCTGTTCCAAGGTCCATGGAGATGAAGGGGATGTTCCTTCATCTTTGGATCAGACACTCAACAGAGGGAAGGTCAGTGCCACAAGGTCTGTGGGCTTGATGCTGCCCACAGAAGGGTTTGCAACTCTGTTGCCCTAAGCGGAGTTACTCCCAGTTTATACCAGGCCCATTAGAATGAACAAGTTGGCACTCACTCCAGTTTCACACCTGCATAGTGTCAGCTGGGGCAGTGCACCTAAGCCACATGCCCCACAGCAAAGGTTAGCACAGTCATAGACTCATAGAAAATGAGGGTTGGGAGGGACCTCAGGCAGTCACATCTAGTCCAATCCCCTGCTCAAAGCAGGATCATCCCCAACTAGATCATCCCAGCCAAGGCTTTGTTGAGGCAGGTCTTAAAAAGCTCCAAGGATGGAGATTCTACCACCTCTCTGGGTAACATGTTCCAGTGCTTCACCACTCTCCTAATGAGAGAGTTTTTCCTAATATCTAACCTAAACCTCCCTTGCTAAACCTAAACCACCCTTGTAAAGTTGCTACTGGAAGCCACTGTTGGGTTGGAAGGCAAGGAAGTTTGTATGTAGCTCAACGGTGGCTCAGCCAGGGAGCATGTGTTTGGATGATCCTATCCACCTTGAAGCCAATGGGAGCCTGGCTGTGGGTTCAGTGCAGTCTTTTGACTACCCAAAAGAAGGAGGGCTGTTCCAGGTCTGCTCAGCTTCCCAGTCAAGGCGTGAACCAGGCCATTCTCCCTGTGAAGTGCACTTCCATTGTCTCAGGGAGTTTCCATGACAATGGGCAGTTGGGTGTCTCCTGCTGGGCAATCAGCTTCTCTCACAGTCTGAGACACTTGCTGAGTCAGTGGGAGTTTTGCCACTGACTTAAGTGGGACCAGGATTTCCCCTCTGCAGGATCTAACCTGTTGTGTAACATTCTGTCCTCTTCAATGTTAGCCTCATCAAACCCTGATTATTGTTTGTTAAATGCTGACAGCCTGATTGCTTCTGTGCAAGACAAAACATAGGCTTTTAAGAGCTTTCTTTCTGAAAATTACAATGGGCTGACTATAAAATATTTAACTCAGACCTAAAAATAATAAAATGGCTTATTTTTAAGATTAGATACTTACATGAGAATGCCAAGGGAGGGAGTTCCCCATTTTTTTTTCAATGAGATAAGTGAAAAATGGCTTCTTTCTGTCCTTGTTTTTGGTGTATAGTTGTTCTCTGTGTTGCCTATTTCTTTCTTCTATGGCAAAATGGAAAAAAAAAAAAGAAAAAGGGGGAAAGGAGAAAAGTAAAAATATAAGACATGGCATTAACATCTTAATTAAAAAAAATTAAGAAAAAAAGTTAACAAACGACAACCTTTATTATACAAAACCTGAAGCACTATTTTTTGGTGGGGAGGTCAGTTTCACAATTTTTAACCAAATTGATTAAATACTATTGTTCAACCCATGCTCAATAAAGTTGGAAAGTTGTTCATAGCTTTCTTCACCAAACTTGTAGCTCTAATATTTGCTGTGAAATAAGAATGTCCACACAGGGAACTAGAGTTAAGATGCTGTTTTGGACTGTTTCTTCATGGTTTTTTGCATTGTTGTTTTTTTTTAACAAACTGTCTCACTGTTCAACAAGATTGCTATTTTTTTTCCTTTTGAATGAATTGTTGGATTTGTTGAAGCCAATAGGAATCTTGTTTTTGTCACAAGTCCATTGGGGGCATGACTTCACCCTAAGGGAAGGATCCAAAGCATATTATAAAGGCTTGTCTAGTTAGAATAGTGGCATCCATGCAATTGAACGCTCCTTTTATGCCAGGAGTGGCCAATTTGTGGCATAGGCATCCTCTCTGTGCGGCATGTGGCAGGCTGGGGAGGGGACAAGCAGCACAGTGGCAGCTAGGGCAAGGAGTAGAAAGCAAAGCAACAGATCAGGCAAGGGAAAGGGATTTAGGTGGCCCTGGGGGAAGGTGCAGGACTAATTTATGCCATGCTTGGCAAAAAGGCTGACCCCCAATGATCTGTGCTGTTGCAGACCTCTATTTTGAACCAGGACCGTCCTTTTCACAAGATCATCTAATGACTGTCATAGCATGGTCAGGGTTGCTAGATGCTGCTCTTATACAAGAGATAAGCATCAGTATAATCAGATTCCTTTTGAATCAGTTTAGTTACGCTGGGACAAATGTGCTAGTAACAACCAAACCAAAGTCAATGGAAAGGCTGCTTTTAAATTCAACAGATTATGAATCAGATTTTGGAATGCTGTAGTTAATATGTAAAGGCTAGGGTTTTTCAGTGCTCTAAGCCCCAGATCCTCAAAGGTACTTAGGTGGCCAAGTCCTACCATATTTAGGTGACTAACTCCCATTAAAATCAATATGGGCAAGGAAGCCATATTATTTTGAAGATCTAGACTTAATTTTACTTCTAT